CATGGCTTAGAGGCCTTATTTGACTTATTTTTGACCCACAAGCCTTATGGCTAATTCGAAAAAAAATAATCAAAACAATACACAAAACATATCTGCTTACCAAGTTTGTTTAAAATATCTCAATCTCTATAAATTGGGGTTTCGGTCTGCGTACAAACAGACGGACAGTTGGACATGGCTAAACCAACTCAGCTCGTCGTTCTGATCCGTTCGACATAAATTTGTGTTCGTCTCCTTCCGTTACTTACATCATCGTCCCACTAATTGGGATCGCCGATCGGCAGGGAATGTCAGCCAGTTCGAGTGTATTTTTGACGTTGAGAAACGCAAAAAAAAAACGTAGGTTCTTCACCTTTCCTTTGACGATTTAACGCTTGCGCGAAAAGTTATCTAAGCAGAATGTCATTATTAAAATATCTACATATCTATGTGAGACATCTTATCTACTACTTCTGCGTAATTTTAATTACACTTGTCGAGTGGAGAGTATGAACGGATAGTCACCAATAGATAGTAAGAAGCAGCAATTGTTCATGTATAACTTGAAAGATAACATTTTTCTAACTTGACTAAGCCACGCGCCTAAAAAGCGCCATAAGAGAAAAGGCTTTGGTTGTGTCAAATGTATAATTATAATTTGACTGCGTGATTAGCGTAATTCTCTTGGCGAATTTATGTATTGTATATGTATTTATACATAAACATATTATATATATATATATTAATTTTAAATATAAAAAAAACACATAGAAACTGTATACATGTATGTGTAGGTACATACAGATGTACATAAAAACGACAATCAGCTGTTCGCAAAATACCGCAAAGTCGGGTGAGTAAATACGAGTATTTACTGATCACTCGCTTGAGTTGTGTTTTAGTTGTTATTGCTTGTTATTGCTGAATGCGCTAATAGTGCTAGTGTATATATATATATTTATATGTTTGTATATATGTAGGTATGTTCTTTTTTTGTATTGATATAATTTTTTATTGCATTTTTTTTATTACATAATTTGAATATTCCAGCTGAGTAAAATGCATTATTTTTTATTGTTTATTTATTACAATTATATGTTGTTGGTTTCAAATTGTTTTGCTGTTTGTTGTTGGTATTGCCTTTTCCACTGCCATCTTTTGTTTTGCTTTATTATTTTTTGTATGTGTTTGCAAAACACTCGCCATTACCAGCTGAAACAGAATAAATAATTTTTATAAATATATAAACATTCCACTTATATATATATGTACATATATATGTATGTACATATGTTGTTATTATTATTATATTATATATGCAATCAAGTGATTGAATATTTTTTCTATTCCTATTTAATAATTTTATTTTTATTGCCTTTTGCATACATACATACATACATACATACATACATACACACATACATATGTACATACATTGTATTTGTTTTTAATAAGTGGGCATTTAATTAGAATTTCTTAGTTTTGCACTAGAACTATATACATACATATGCATATCGCTGTAAACTTGTGTACATACGTACATGCATACCGCGCTATACATATGTATGTATATACAAAAACAATTTGAAGACATTCATAATGTTTTTTATTACTTTACTTTAGTTTCACCTAAAAACATATGTACATCTTCACATATATGTATCTATTCTAGATCGTCTGTTTGTTACTAAAATATAAATATGTATGTCCATATGTATTTAAGAAATTTTCCGCATTCTCCGCATTATTGTTGCCTCCTATGTATGTATCTTACAAAAATTTAAAAATAAAAAACTAAAAATAAAAATAAAACAAAAAATACATCACATTTATTTGCTTTTAAATTTAGTGCTGTTGTATTACTTTATTAAATACCGGTTACTTTATCAAAATTTCAATATTTTTGTTGGGCTCCACTCATTTAGCGAATTTTGGCAAGTTTCTATGGTAAGTTTCTTTCCAATGCGCTTACTATTCACCAGTCACTTTGATTCACTCGTAGAAGTCTCGCTACTGAGAGTCTAGTATTTGAGTACACCCCTCCTTCCCCCATCGTTGGCTATTGCCAGCCTATTACTGGTGTTGTTGCCAGTTAAATGTTATGAGTATGAACAGGAAGAGAAATCCGCGTCATGATTTTAGATGCCAAAGGATGTTTTTTTTTTAGGCATGGGGGTTTCAAGTGGAACATATTTTATGTTACGACCAAGAATTTGGTTTAATAATTAAGGCCATAGTCTGCTTTAGAGGCTTCAATAACTGCATTCTTCTTCTTAAATCTATTCTAAAAGTATCCAAGAATATGCCTTACAAATTTCAGTTTCCAATTCGACATATTTTAGAAACTAGACGTAGAAGCAATTGACCGCGCGTCGAGCAGGTTCGAATGCTCGGCAGAACTTTGAAGTGCGATTTCTCGTCTTAGAAAACGATGCCGGTACCGTTCCACGATTTCAGACTGCAGCCGCTTAAGAAAACGCATCAAAACATTGTAAATCTCAATATTTTTAATTCCCAAAATTATATTTTGGAGCTTAAATATAACAGCAGCAGCGGAGCAATATGGCCTAATTTATAATCGGCTGAAAATTTCGGTGGTGGCGGCTAGCGACTTGAGTATTTTGTTGCCACTCTGACTTCCTCGCTTTCTTTTGTCATGTACTAAAAACCCTTCGGTTATGATCCAGTCTTTGGGATTGCTATGGTTCAGCATTGCAATGGTGGGATGTTGCCTAGCATCTCACACAGCCTCTGCCAAGTCCATGGAGTTTTTTAAATGTTTTTTGTTGACAGTATTGGGTGTTTCGAACAATTGCTAACAAATTTTCACTCGTACCGCGTTCATTATATTCTGAGTTCACGCCAATTGGCTGTTTCTATGGTTCGGTGGTTATATCACAGTCGTTTTATTATGGTTAGCGGTTGCCGGGCTCACTTGGGCACCAAAAGGGTCAATTGTGATACCACTGAAAATCCTAACGACCACCACTCGCCAGTCAAACTAATGTGCCCTTATCTTTGCCCGCATAAATCTCAAATCTTCGCCGTTCCTAGAGTCTTGAATCTACTTCTCCAAAGTACGGAGCATTAGAAAAAAAAAATTTTAAGGCACTTAAAGTTCCATATTCCTCCTCTTGTATGCAACTTCTGCACTTTATAATATGTAATTTATATTTATATTAAGTCTCAGTGCATAGAGAGCGTTATTGCTAACCCTTCTTTTTTTTTGAAAGTCGTGACTTGGAAAGTCGTTCCTCTACCATCTGAAAGGAAGTTCCTCCGCTTAAGCAATAAAATTTGCAAAATTATTTCTTAGTACTAAAGGTGACTTTTCAAACTGTTTATAAACATCGACAGTGACCCTATTCAATGGTTAGGTGAGAAAGTTCCATCTCCAACTAATCGTTCCAACGAATTGGGTGACTTATTCTTCCTCTGCCTCTACAAGTGAGCACTTCGTCGAATGCTTTTAAAGCTGGAGTATTCTGATCCACTCCGACTACTTGATGTTGCCGGCGAAGCATCTATTCTACGAGTTAAGGAGCATAATGCTTTGCTGTACAAGCTATTCCTGCTAGAATGCTACCACAGGAACCACCCCAGCAGGCCGCTAATAGAGACTGAACCATCATACAGGCATAACAGAAAAGAAGTACTAGATTTAAAGAACACAATCCAGCAACACGTGCAATAACCGCTGGCTGACGTACAGACAAGCACTAAACGCCAGTAGTCAAATCACCATCCATAGCAGACGAAGAGCTCGAGAGACCCGCGTATACTGACCCAACTTAGGTATGGATCCTGTAGCTGGTTAAACTCCTACCTATAAAGACTCGAACCCGACATGAACTAAATATTTCAAACTAACCAACTCTTTCCATGGCCCATAAAACCGACACACCAAAACCTCCCCTCCAGCTCGTTTCATGGACCTCACGTTAGATGGCCACGGTGACTAGGGCTAACTAGCCTGTTCCTAAGCCGGGTTGGAGCAAACACTGCAATAACAAGAACGAGTACAATAACGACAACAATGGGCACAATACAATAATGGTACAATAACGACAATTTGGCCTTCGTTCGAGTGGGGACTTTACGTTTCAAAGCTCAACAGATAGGTAGCTTTGTGAATTTTCTTGTGCTGGAATCTAGTGTTACAGTCACCCATATCTCGGACTCCGGCGAAGTCGATCAGCCTCATCAAATTGAGGGATTCTTCGTCGTGTTCACTGATTTTTTCAAGATACTATCCGCCGTTGAGATCGCCAAGCACATAAAAGGCACAGTAACCACACAGATTCTCATTGAGCCGATTATCCGTTACACTCACATTACTAAGAGGCAAATACAAAAATACAAATACAAAAACATTTAATAACAAAATGATTAACAACACCGGTGTTAGCATACGAAAATGCAACAACAAAACACGCTACTAACAATGTGTAGAAAAGACCGCAACGACTACTAGCATCATTTATAAAAACAACAACAATATTAACAAGTAAAAATAAAAAGCAAATGAAAATATGTTTGAGTCAATAATTCATTACAACAGAGAAATAACTGAATATCTAAGTGCTAAGAGAGTATGACGTGAGAGAGAGTGTAGTTGGCAACATACGGGTAAGTGACAAGTGACAAAAGAGTAGTACATCCGGACATCAGGAGTGTGTGTGTGCAAAAAGGTGACAACGAAATTTGATTAGTCGTTGTAATTATCGCACAAAGCATTGAATGTGGCAAATGAAAGAGGAAATGGAAAAGGTAAAACAACCGGCATTAGTAATAAAAATGGTTAGCGAGCGGTTAGAAGTAGCAAAAGTAGCGCACAGATCGGTAGGTGAGTCGCGCGAGCAACCGGTAGAAGTTACCAAATCGAATGACAGACAATTAGTAGATGAGCGAATTTTACTCGCTGTCGGTAGTCGCTTGTTAATAAGCCTCCAGCTGAGCGCCGACAGGCACACGGTCAGGCAGGCAGTTTGCTAGTTTTTTAGTTGGCTTGTATGTTTGTTTGCTTGTTGGTTTATCAGCTGTTAAAACAAGTTGCAGCGGCAGAAACGTGCAAAAACAGCAAAAACTCGCTGGCTTGATTTAGTTTAGTGCAAAAACTTTTATTTTTATTTTTTGCTGTAATGTGAGCGCTGCTTACTTTCATATGCTTTTGCTTTGATTGCGATGTGTGTTGTTGTGATTATTGTTATGTGGCTGTTTGTTATGTTTGTGTTAACACGTTCATTTCGCTGTCTCTACACATGTATGTTTGCTTGTTTGTGGTTAAGACTTCAAAAGTAGCAACAGTCATAGCAATAGCGACGATTTTACTGCTGCTACTGCTGCCGTTCACTGCCACAAAAACCACATCAAATCACAACAAATTCATTCAGTGTGTTGTGGAAATCGCTGGACGTCGGTTGTTGTGCTTTTTTCCTGATCATTCTATATTTGTTTGGCTCCGTTTTTGTTTTGACCGTTCTTACGCGATTTTTGATATATTTTTGGTTGTTTAAAAAAAAGAATTAAATTCGATTGTTTTTATTTTGTGTTTGTTTTCGGTGAGTGTATTTTGCTAGCGACGCGAGTGTAAAAGTGAATGCATACACGTACATACATACTGATAGCTAGGGCCGACAAGTTAGACAGACAGGTAAGCAGTGAGAACAACAAGTGTCACGTCCACATTTGTATATACATATGTATGTATGTTTATACTTATAAGGATCTTGCTTATGAGCTTTGCGGAATCGAAGAGAAAACCTGTCATTCTGATTGCAAACATTCTTCTTTTTGTTATTGCGTTTATTTGTATAAGAGAAATGTGTAAAAGACCAACAATCAGCGTTGTGTTGTTTTTGCAGAATTTTGTGGAGAAATGAAATGTGTATTTATTTTTGAGTGCCAAAAAAAAAGTAAATAAAAAATTAAATAATATAAAATAATACTTACCAAGAAAAAAGTGATATGTATGTTTGTATAAATAAAGAAAAAAATTGGAAAGCAAAAAAAAAAAAATTGTGCGCTGTATAGTTGTTGTAGACATTTTAGAAAGATTTAAAAAGGATTTTTGTGTCAGTAAAATATTCCAAACAGCGCAAAAGCATTAAATCTACTAAACAAATTTTTCTAAAGTATATTTTTCATAATATTGTGTGTTTAAAAAGCTAACTGTTGGATAGCAATTACAGCTGAGTGTATCAAAGTTATATATTTTCAAAATAAATAAAAGGGGTGCAATTAATAAAAAAAACGTCTTATTTTTGAAACTGGTTTTAGAATGTGAGCATTATTGTCTTTCACTGCTAAGCTGTGAATAGTCTTCCAGATATTCTTTCTGTCTGTATGTATATATGCATGTATGTAGCTACAACTTTGGAATAGTTTGGTTGAAAAAATTTTTTTTTGATGTATTGTTTACCTCGCAGCTGTACCGGCATACATATGTATATTTTTTTTTTTGCATTTTTGCAAATTTTTGTATGTATTTTCGTTTTTCAAGAAATTAATTTTTGTTTTTAGTTATTTAGTAAGTGTATTTTTATTACAAGAAAAATTTATAGTAACACAGACATTTTGTTGAAAGTGTACATAGATATTAAAGCTTAAGAAAAAAAATACATACTTACATATGTATGTACATACAACTGTGTGCGTAATAATAGCAGTGGCTAATGGAAACTTGTGTAATGATCTTCTTGTATTTAAATAATATTTGTAATTTAAATTTGCCAATGCCAGAATGTAGACCCAAATACTACCACTTTGTATTACATTAATTTCTGATAGTCGTATTGTGTGAACGAATTTAGGTCACACTCGAAAATTTAAATTAATTTTGAATGCTGGAGGAATTACTTGCGTAAATACATCGTTTTTAAAATATTAGCAAGTATTCCTTATTTGCAGTAAACTCTGTTTGTCTCTTTACTTTTCCTGAAATCTTTTTGTTGTCGAAGAATCGTCTTCATCTTCGCTTTGATTCGGTTCTGTTGCATTAAAAAAAAGCTTCCAACAATTCGCTATTAGATTTGCCCCCAGTTGATTCCGAATAAACATTAAAAATGGTACAGCAGCTTTAATGTTAAAGATTTTAAAAACTGGGTGATGTCATCTCTCCCAATAGCTAGTAACAGGAAATGCCTTTTGTAGTACAGCTTAGTTATGCGAATCATATTTTGGCCCAAAGGTTGAATCAAGGTCGTAACATTTGGTAGCATATAAATCACACATCATAGAGCCATCAGCAGTTTTCAGTTCATGGTGCGTTGTCAAGCAATATAATAGCTTTGGTTTGTAAACCCTTCTGTTGCATAAACTTTTGGACCTAAAAATAAAGAAATAATGTCTAAAATTGCAGTGCATTCATTGCACTTGGGGGACAAAACAGTGGTGAAACCATTCTCTGAAGATATCGGTGGTCACCCATGCACTCTTTGTGATTTCTATAGCCTACCAGGATGTCACATGATTTAAAGAGCGCGGTTTCTCTCCACGACCAATTATTAATGGTTTGACCCAATGCTGATCAGTTGCATTAGTGCAAGCAAGAAAAATTTGCCTAGCCTTTTCTGCTGTTCTCCCCGGAGCAGTTTTAACAGTTTGGCCGACATAAGCTCTTTCGGGAAACATCGTTCTGAAAGAAACAACAACACAATCACAAATTATGGGAATAACCTCTTTCATTTCTGATTCCTTCTTGTGTGTTAAACACCTACCTATCCAGACACATTTAACCCCGCCTCTCCCTCTGAATAGACCTCCCGTTAGATGGCTTTGGTGACTTAGATTGATTTTAATTTGTCTCTAAGCGGGGTTTACGTAGCCACGACAACAACAGCAACACCTCGTACAACTCATGGGTCCATCGGCTGTGGTATTCGCCGTTCCTGACTAGCAGAGTTTTTCTTTGTTCGTCGAGAACTTTACTCTTCGTTTCTCGCCTCTGTCCAACGTAGTATCTGTCGGCAAGTGTCATTCCGCGTTGAATTTGAAGAGTGACAATATTATTAGTGTTAGCGCTGGTGACCAGACAGACGAAATTATCCACAACCTCAAGGTTATGCCGGTCAATAGTCATTAGAACTACGTTGCGTTGGTATTTAAATAGTTTCTTGCTCACTACCATACCCATTCGCTTAGCTTCTTCGTTTAGTATGGAGAAAGCAGAATTAACGTATCGGTTGTTGGGGCGAATGATATGAATAGATTCGGCAAACACCAGCTATTGATGAAATCCCTTGATCTGTGAACTTGTCTGAAACCTTGTTCAGTATCGAAGGACTCAGGAGAGTTTTTCCCAATACACACGGAGCTTTTGGTGTAACTTAGCGTCAAATGATCCACATGAAGATGGGGCCTTTGTTGTTGTGTCAAAATGTTGTTTACGAGTATTATCCAAGATTTGGCGCATAATTAATATTTGATCTATGGTCGATCTAGTCTGATATAGACGTACACTGGTCGAACCAGGTTGTTCTAAGGCCACACTGAAGAAGCCCGATCAGTTCACTGTCATTCACTCCATTTACGTAATACAGCAGATGGGTAAGACTTTATATTCGATATTGGGAAAAACACCTCAGCTTGTGGCATTTGAATAGCTGAGCCGGCAGTTCATCGGTACCGGACAATGAGTACTAATTCTAGTTTAGTTTTTCTAACTGCGGTCGTGTCTCGGTAGGGAATGTCAAACCCCCTCAGAGTATTTCTGACATGAAAATCGTCATGGAAATCCATCAGCCGTTTGCGGGCGGCTTAGAAAAAACTCTGTAGATTCCTCCATTTGTAGGAAAAACATCAAGACGCATAACCACAAATTGGAAAAGTCGCTCGGCCTAAAATCGCTTCAGCTTTTATACAAAGTGCCAATTATCTGATGGAACGAGCTGCGTCTCTCATAGCTAGCGCTGCTCTCTAATTGGCTTCAACGTCTGCCACTTAAATATTCGCTTTAAATAATATACGTATTTTGATTTCTAAGATACACCAGCTTTTGAAAAGGTTTATTTCTATTGGAAAGTATCATAAAACATTTATCGATCTCATTATCATTGATCGTTCGCAAATGGATCATTGGCGTCGTCATAAAATCGTGCTAATTGAAATTAGATGAGATACACGCGCAAGGTTACATACATATTGCATCCACTGTGGCTTGTTTGCGAATACAATTTGAATATTTAGATATTAAGTGAAATTTACTTGTTGTGGGTCCATCTGGAATTTTTACTGCGAAAAAGTTTGGTTAGGTGTGCAGTTTGTATATATGAATGGGTGGTTTTTTTTCCAGATTCACATTGCAATGAATTGAAATGTGTTTGAGAGAAGTGTGAAAGTTTCACTGAGTTATTGATTTTCCATTGGAACTAATTTTTTGTTGTTGTTAAATCCGTTCGCTATATGTAATTTGAAAAAAAAGTAGTAAAACTAGACGATGTCAACAAGATCACCTAAGGGACAAGTCCAAGAAAGGAGAAGAGGTGTTAAATGAATCAGTTTAAGGGAATCTGGATAGATAGATACCAACAGAGTTGCTTAATAATCGTTGTTCTTGTTGTTCCGCCTCGATGTCACCTAACGAAAGGTCCAGGAAACGAGGTATTACGACGATTTCGAACTGGAACAGTTGGTCGTCGAGGACATGCAAAAAGATGGCGGAGTTTCATTGCGATTTCGGGACATAAGTCGAGTATGTCGGGGTCAAGTCTGGATAAGTAGGAATTACGGTGATTACAAAATTCAGACTTTTATACAGCCAGTATTATTATGGCAGTTCGAGCTCTTCCAAAGCAATATGTGGTGCTTGGATTCCAAGAATCCCATTCAAGAAGATGTTGACCGGCCCTCCGGAGAAAAGCGTCTAAAGCCTGTCCGTATGCCGTCTTACCCAGCGATTCTTGTCTAAGTACTGAATGAAGTTTCGTTCCTGATGTGCTTAGGTGGAGGCTTACCCTCAAGGGATGTTGGGGTTACCCGATGGTATCATCGCAGTAGATATTGCTGCACAAGTAATGTTTCGATGACCTCAAGAGGTTTCGCGTCTCGGTCTTGAGGGCGGTGTTCTGACATGCTTTTAGCTAGTCTCCAGCGTGCAAATCGAAGCATCGTAACGACCAGCCTCACGTGTTGCCGGCTAACGTTTTGAAGATTTTTTGGCGGCTCTGGATTTTTTAGCCAATTGAGGTGGTAAGGAAGCAGTCTGTTGAATGTGACTCCCAGTATCTGTGGGTAGTTGCATTGTTGGAATTTTTGCGCCATCGACATTTACCTTGAATTCGAGCCTGCACTTCTTCTTGCAGCTGAGGAAGGGGGTTGTCGAGAATTTCGTAGGTAGTGGCTGTAACTGTCATGTAGTGAAGACGTGGGAAAGGTTGATGAGAGAGCAGTTACTTTCGTGGTCATCGGCATATGAGATCAATGAAACACTCTCTGGCGGAGGAGTTTTAAAGTCTGATATCGAAACTTCAACGATGACTGTCGACTATACAGATTGCCCATAGTTCACGTCTTCAACTGCGATGCTAATGGGAATCCTCAATGTCCGATATTTGTAGGGTATAGATTGATGGTCTCAAAGATTTTTGACAGATTCAATGCTTTCAAAACGGGTTGCGCGGAGGACCGGCTTTGATTAAGTGCGACTGTGACGCTATGCACACTTCGGAAGTCATGATGATATGATGCTGGGCTCAAGTGGTATGTGAAGGATGAAAACAACATAGTCTCAATTGTACCCCCTTCTGGGAAAAGGAGAGATGTCGGCCGATATGAATCTTCCTTCTAGGCTATTGTCCCTTTTTAATTAGTAATACCTCTCCGCCCGTTTTCCACATTTCAGGTATTACTTGGGTGGTCGTAGACAGATTGAGAACCTTGGTGGTGGTTGGGTTGATCTGTTACCTTTGATCCCAGTTGTTTTAGCATCAGCGTACTTGCTCCGTCAGGCCGATGGATTTGGATTCTTTCACCTTCCCGATAATTTCCTGCACATCTTCCCAGGAAAAACAAGCCTCGCGCTGGTGTTTGGCAGTTTGCGCACTCGCTAAGTCGTGGCGTAGAAATTCAATATAAATTGAAAAAACTCTTGCGATTATATTGCCTGAGTACGGAAGTCACGCTGTTTTATTATTGTATTTTTATTGGTATATATGTGTATGTAGTTAACGGTATTTAATAAATATATTTGCTTCACACTACCGTAAACATTAATTAGCATGACAATCGCAAAATATTTATAAAAATAATTTTATTAGTGCTTTTTGAAAGAGAGATACCAACTAAATGTAAAGGCCGACTGGAAAAAGAAAACGAAAACGTTAAATAATAAAATACAACCAGAGTTGGTGGAGCAGAAGTGATTTCTGTTTATGGGGGTTGAATGGATGGACCTGGAGTTAACTGAGTTTACGATGTCAAATGTACGATTTAAGGAAAATCAAACAAGGAACTCATGGTGGCTTTTTCACTCCTTGTTGTTTAATTTATTAAATTTCCAAATTTTCTCCACCAAAACAGCGAGCCGCCATTATCTCCTGATCGCTCGATCTTGGCTTTCGATGATGGTAGTAATATTCTTTGCTCGAAAGTATGCGGCTACATCTTTTGCACTAATTCACTGCCAGGCACTTACAACTTTTACCTCGGCGATCCGTTTTACCCGCCAAAGTACTAGCTAAAATACCAAGCTCCAACAACGCGAAGTTATTTGAAGTGATATTCGGCATCCTGTACTACTTACCATTCCTCAATTATACGTTGCTATCAACTTACGAAGCTATCGTGCGGCCGGATATAAATTACCTCACAAAGATGTGAATCGCGGCCACTAAAGATCTATTCTACACCATTACCAATAATTCTCCAGCCCCCGCACAACCCGAGCCCCGCACACCCTAGCCATCTCTTTGCATGCTTACTAAAACCGACTCTTGGGAATCCGTCGAAATATCTCGTTTCCTGAGCATCTCGTTATAAGACCTCGACATTCGACATACGTGTAAATATGTGATTATGTATAATAATCGGTACAATAAAAAAACAATAGTTTTTGAGAAAAACTCTGAAATTAAAAGGATTTTTTTACGAGGCTTGTCCAGAAAGTAAGTGTACTGAGGCTTTCACGGCAGGATGGATTTCATTTTCGTCATGTTAGTAAGTGGATAGCCAGATTTCTCACCTTTGCAACGTGCGACCGGTTCGAGGTCAGTACGTTGAGAACTGTCAATGCGACTGCGTGAGTTTTCGTGAACAATGTCAAATTAGTCTCTTATCAAGTCACTGGAGATGAAACTTGAATCACATACAACATGTCGGAAATCAAAAGACACTCCCAATAATAGCGTCACAACACGTCACATTCCGCCAAAAAGCTGAAAACCACATTTTCAGCCTAGAAAATTATGGCCCCATCGGAGACCATCAAGACCACTCAGCCGCATAAGTTTTGCGCGGATACGAAATTCAACCAAAGGGTTGCAGAGCAGCTCTTTTGCCTGCGTTCGAAATTTGCTTTAAATTCGACAAAGAGGTGGTGTGTGTCGATCCTCTTATCATGAGGTTTTCCAAGACTTTGCGCACGGTGAATGGTAGTTTTACCAGGTCTAGAGCCAAACTGATAAAGCCCAATCAGTTTGCGGAGGATGGGCTTTAGTTTTTTTTTAACAATGTGCTGTGGGGTTGATCGGACACAGTACATCGTATTCTGCAAAAAAGCTTATGTACGCACCTTATTAAATTTATTCGCCCTACGCATTGCTCTTCGGACAATTCAATGGCCCTCGTCAGTTTTTTGTTTTAAGGTGGGCGATTGTTATTCGAACTTCTTTATAATGGAGCCATGAAACATCTGTTTTATCATTTCATCACTGCCATTCAGCTGGCTGAAGAAGTGTTTCTTCCTTAAATTCAATACTTTTTGAGCAACAGTCGCTAGATCACTTCCCTTGATGCTACAAGACGGTGGTGCGAGTTGATCCTCGCAGCGTACGCACGTCAAGAATACTGGAGACATGTGTTCCGTCTATTACAATAACATCGATCTGGTTGGGAGTTTTTTCGACTTGGCGACAGCTAAATGACGTGATGAATTTTCTCGTGCTGGAATCTACAATACTACATAATACAACCATTAAACCATTTGTGAAATTGCTCGTCTGTTTCAAGTCCAGATCCATCTCGTTCATTACCCGGGTTTAGCAACTTCAAAATGCTCTCTCTTTACCCCCTTGAAACTACACACCGTGGAGAAGTGAATGAACCGGTTTACGGGAAAATTCTTCGAGAAAGGTATCAACAAATTGTTACCCTGCTTATACCTAAGAACTTTCTGGACATCCCTCGTAAAATAATAATATTGTCAAGTTTACGAAGGCTCGTGTCAGCAGATCAAACAGAAACGGTATTTCTGGAGGTGACAAGAAAAAGTAGAGAAAAATTATCGAAAATAATCAGTATAGGTTTGCGTATGTATGTATGTAGATATATTTACGTGTACATATATTTACTTCCAAAGCGTTAGATGATCGTATAGTAAATACGAAAAAAATCAGAATCAGATAAGAAGAGTCATCATAAATCGTCAGTATAATTTCTGGCCTATAATGGTTTATAGCGAAATTGTGTCGTATGTATGTATGTCATAGAGTAATGGCAATTAAAATCACATGAATATGCAAAAAAAAAAGAAAAACAAAAATAGAAAATAAAAAACAAATTATAATATAATAAAAGTTTGGTATAATAAAATACAAAAATTAGATAATAAAAATTTGTTATGACTTAAAATGTAAACACAGATAAAAGATTTTTTATAAAATATAATACGGCTGATTGTAAATTTTTTGTTACCAGAATTTGGAGTTTTTTTTAATTTCAAGAATTTTTATTTATTTATAAGTTTAAATAAATTTTTAAAATAACCGTAATAAAAGATAACAATTTTTTTTTCGAAAAATGAGACATATTATTTTATGAAAATTAATTTATATTATTTTCAGAACATTTTTTTATAAAAAATTATTTAAACTCTTTTCAGAATTTTTTTTTTAAATTTTTTTATATTTTTTCAGAACATTTTTTATGATAGTTTATGTAAATTACTTATTTTTTAAAACTGGAATTTAATTTAACTTTGTTATAGTTTTCATAACTTTTATTAGTTTGTAACTGCAAATAAATTTATCAAAAATTTATATGTATTTTTTTAGATACTTAAATTTTTTAATTTTTTTGAGAGAAAAAAAAACTGACAAAATTCGGATATTAATTTATTATAAAAGAGATACATTTTTTTTAATATAAATGTTAATTTTTTTTTCAAATAGTGAAGATATTTTTTTTGAAAAACTAGAGATATTTTTTATGAGAATTTAGAGATTATTAAAAAATAGACATATATTTGTTTTAGAATACCGCGACGTTAAACGCAAACAAATTTATTGAAAAGGTACATATTTTTCGTGAAAAAAATGGAATATATTTTTTATGAAAAATGTGACACATATTTTATGATTTTTTTTTTTTTGTGTATAAACAATGATTTATTATTTGAATCCTTAATTGGTTTGTTTGTATGAAAAATGATTTATATATATTTAATGATTTTTTTGTACGGAATTTTTTTTATATATTGTTAATAATTTTTTTATGAAGAATGATTTATTTTTTGCCAATTTTGCTTTTTTTGCATGAAAAAGATTTATTTATTTTTAATAATTTTGTTATTTTAATATGAAAAATTATTAATATTTTCTAAAAATATTTATTTTTTCATTTCAGTTCATTCGCATGTGTTACTCTTGCACATTGGGCTTTAAGATGGAGTACATACACATAGGCAAATAAAAAAAAATTATTTTGAATAAAATCTCTTCATTTATTTGCAACAATAAATACTTGTACGTATAACTGTGAAATTCCGGATTTATTTGAAATATATGTTATATGTATATAGTATATACTAAAACTTATGATAATTTGAATATCTAATTATAATAAAACATATTAAAAATTTTAAGAAAATTTTAAACAATAAACAATTTTCGAGCGTGTGCCTTTTTTCGTTCCAAATGGTTCAAATTAAAACTTAATAAAGTGTTCGCTGTAATCATGTGACATCCACTAAGTACCACTCCAGCTGTGCCCTCAAACACACATAGTAAACGCCGTAAGTGTGCAACTAAACCTCTTAGCAGGCATTTTATACTTCGTTGTTGTTGTTGTTCTTTTTATTACTATTCGCACTACCTCAAGAAATAAGTGCATTACTCACGGACCACACCGCTCTCGCGCTCTCATTGCAACTCGCTGGCAAAACGCCTACGCATAAGCAAACCAACCAACAAACGAAAAAAAAAATAAAACCAAATTTAAAAAAAAAAATATCAAAAGCTCAGTCACGTGCATTTAATTTATTTACAAGACCAACTTAATTCGTGTGAAAGTATGCAGAATGAAGTTGACAACAACAGCAATAACAATGTGATTATAATAAATATCAACATAATGCATCTCCTGTTACATATACACGGACATTTCAGTTGCTACTAGTTGCATACAATTACAACGAAACTTATCAGCGAGTACACCAAATCAGAATCAGAATCAGAATCAGCATTATCACACAATCCAATCCAATTCAAGCCACCGAACAAACCAATAAGTCAGTCAGCCACACAAGTGCTCGACAGCAGCAGCAGCAACAGCAACAACATGCACACTCTTCGACACAGCAAAAGTAAAGAAGCCTAAACAAAATAAAACAAAACTTTGTTGGACATACATACATATGCATATACATAAACGAAATAGCGAGAACGATCAATTGCCTATCGCAACGAACATTGCTTACATACATATTCATATATATAAAACATAAATATATATATATGTATGTACTCGCACATTTGTAAGATACTCCGTTTCGTGAAGTAGCTCCGGCTGTACGATTTTTCATTCTGTTGACGACAAATCTACTACTAATTCAAAATACATTCGCTCGGCTTAATACCACGACTAATGCTGCTACTAATACTACTACTAATACTACTACTACTAAACTAAATACTATCAGTGCGTTTGAGGCCTAGTGGAAAGTGAATGGCGGTACGCAAGTGTAATGTTACTTACTTTCATTGTTGTTTGTTACTCTTGTTATTGTTGTAGTAGCAACAGCAAAAGAATTCTTTCATAACTTACTGTCTAGTTACTACTTCCTCTACGAGCGTAGTTAGTGCGTTCGCCGGGCCGACGAATAACTTGGCAATCAACAGCACAAATCACAGCACTCACTGCAAGTGACAGAACTAATTTTGCTGATCGACGAGCCTCAAGTAATCGGCGCAACGATCCCACGAGAGAAGGTGAAGTTTAAGCAGCGCGTTTGTCGCTTAGTCGCGGATGAGAAAGGAAATTTGTGTGTGGAAAATTGCTTGTGAAAGTTGGTGTTTATAAGTGGCAAGGAATGCATGTAAAATTTATATGTGAAAAAAAAAGAAGGAAACAAATAAATAAATAAAAAAGAATAATAAAACATTAATGGAAACCGTAATTAAGTTATTGACAAATAAATAAAAATATAAAATTAATTAAAATTTTTATTTTTTATAACTCAACAGCAACACAACTGTGATGTAAATGCAATTGTAGACTTGAATTGTAGAGACTTGTAAAATATTTCAATAAAAAACTAATTAAAATTAAAATGTTAAAAAAGAAGAAATAGAAAAATCAGAAAAATAAATATTATTTTTATATGAAAAGTGAGTTTAATACTAATTAATATTAAAAATATAAAACAAATAAAAAAAAATAGGAAAATAGAAAAAATACATAAAGCAATGTTAATAAAAAAATTAAGCTTAAAATAAGAATCTAATTTGCATTAAAATAAAAAAGTGGAAAAGTGTATTCCAAGGGGGCTACGTATACAAAAAAATTAAAAATAAATAAACGCTTAAAAAGCATCAGCTAAAAGGCAATAACAGGTTGTGATTAAATGCTTACATAAACAAATATCAAAATAATAAGTAAATTATTATCAAAAAAAAAAAAATTTAATTTTTCACAACACAAATTAAATAAAGAAGAAGAAGAGTAATAAAAAAGTAGGCGCAAAAAGCAAAAAAAAAAAACGACAAAAATTATAAAAATAATAAAAAAATATATTAAAGTCTAATATATGTAACGTTTTAATTAGTTTAAAATCAATTTTAATTAAATTAATAACTAATTTTATAACAAATTAAATTAAATTAAAAAATAATTTAATAACTAATAAACATAAATTAATTAATATATAATAAATAATTTAATAACAAATTTCCATAACAACATTTATTATTTTAACTACTGCAATTTTTGCATACCACCAAAACAAAAAAAAAAAAACAAAACAAACAAACAATAAAAAATGAAGCTAACCACCAACAACAATTCCGCCCAAATGGAATCTCTACTCACCGTACCCACAACGCTAACGCATGTTAGAGTACATCCCATGCGCACCTCATCGAACGCTTCATCGATTGGTCGACCAAGCGGCGCAAGTACCGCCGGCGGTACAGATGACGAGGACGAGAGTGGTCTCGGTTATACGCACACATTGGTGAGTACAATTAATTAAATTATAAATTTTGGAAATTTTTAGAAGTAATGAGAGAGTGTTCTCTAACGATTCTTGAAAGTACCGGTAATATCAGTGACTGTCTGCCCTCAGTTCAAACCTCTTGCCCAGTAACTCTTCAATAAATATAGTCAAAATTGGGCTTACAAAATCTAACAATGTCAAGTACGCTCATTAAGTAGAGCCCTAACGGTATTAAATAGCAATATGTATATTGATTTGTCTCCATTTTGTGGAGCGGTTCAGTCTTCTACGAACACAGTCAGAACAGTAGAACTTATTGTTCAATTTGATTGAATTAAATAATAAAAATAGAAATTAAAAGAAATATAAAACAAAAATAAATAAATAAACACAAAATTAAATAAATAATAAAATAATATATAATAAATAAATAATATATAGAATAAGTAAATAAATAAATAAATACATAATAAATAAAAAAATAAGTAAATAAATAAATCAAGAAATAAGTAAACAAATAAACAAATAAATAAACAGCAAAAATGAATAAAAAGTAAATGTATAAATAAATAAATGAATAAATAATTAAATAAATAAATGAATAAATAAATTGAGCAATAAATAAATAAATAAGTAAACAAATAAAAAAAAAATTAATAAATAAATAAATAAATAAATGAATAAATAAATTGAGCAATAAATAAATAAATAAGTAAACAAAAAAAAAAAAAATAAATAAAAAAATTAATAAATAAATAAATAATTAAACAAATAAATATCAAAAATGAATAAAAAATAAATGTATAAATAAAAAAATTAATAAATAAATAAATAAATAAATAAATAAATAAATAAATAAATAAATAAATAAATAAATAAATAAATAAATGAATGAATAAACAAAAAATTCAATCAAATTCAAACAAAAACAAGTAAATAAATAAAATAAATAAGTTGCAGATGAAAGAAATACATTTCTTTAATGGAGCATAAAAACTGGAGCTCCTTGATGTAGATTTCAGTGGAAATATTCAAATCTTCAGGAAAATAGGAGGAGTATTTTGGCCAAACATTCCCAAAAAGAAGATTAAAACTTATGATACGAAAAATTGATTAAAATGTTAATATTAAATAATTTTAAATAATTTTAGGAATTCTCAATTTTTTTTCTTCAAATTGGTTTCGGTGTATCGAAACACAGCAGGGTACCACTGCCTCTTGATGGTTTTTCAACACATCCAGGTTTATACAAGCCGCCTCCAAACGGCCGCTGGATTTTTATAAAGAGCTTTCTATTTCCTGCCAGAAATATACTTGTATTCGGAGGGGTTAACATTCTCTGCCGAGAGGCGACCGCAATTATAAAAAAAAAATTATTTTTCAATTAATTTTTCTTTGCTATTGTGATCGTCGCTGATCGGCAAACTGTAATTAAAAGTAAAAGAATATCCCACAACTGTTCAGTTTGCACGAATCAAACAAAATTTTATTACTTATTAACATACATACATACATACATACATAAATATGTGAATTAAGTCTAAGTTTTTTCATAAACAACTTCACAAACGACACATGCCATGACAGAGATCAGTCGGGGCTGCATGATTTGAGATAATTCAAAACAACAAATAGTTTTAGAGCATCTGTAGGCCGTGATGATAACAAAAGTAAACAAACACAAATATTGCTTTTAATACATAAAAGAAAAGAAGAAAAATTTAAATGCTATTACAAAACAAGTAGAGCACCACAAAATGTATAACAAATTAGTCTAGCTCGTGTGCAAATATATATACATATATATAAATATAATTATATTAGATAATTAACGAAGTGGCAAAACAAAGTAAGCTAAAATATTATTTTTTATCAAAAACGGTAAGCAAAAATTTCCTTGCATGTACATACGTGTAGGTGTATACTTACATATGCATGTACATTTGTATTAAAAGCAAAAGAATTATGTAAATCTAAACTTTGAACTGCACTTTTTTATTTATAAATATAATCTCATACGAAATATTTATGTTCATTTCCTTTGTTTATTAAAAGTACACAAATAAAAACAATTTATATTTCAAATATTTTATTTAGTAAAAAGAAAACCAACAGTTTTTGCATTAAATTGAAGGCTTTATTTACCGATTTTCATCAAATATACACCGTTTTGTTATTATGAAGGTAATGTCGTTATGTCTCTCTCATAGAAACCCTTGACTCTCTTGGCAAAAACAATTGATTTTTACAGGCT